TTACAAAGAGGAAGTTTTCTCTAGATACCAGAACATTAGAGACTGTAGAGCAAAGCAGATCCAGACAGTCGGTCAGGAGGCACTGACAGAGCCTGGACAAGACGGGGTGAAGGCTGGGACCACACACACTGTAAGGATGGAGAGGATCCTGAAGGGGAGACTGGACCTGGGAAACTGCAGGAAGTAGAATTGACAAGGACACAGCACAGTATGTGTTTCTGTACACAAGCATCTTTGGCAGACACAAAGGAGAACAACAAATTAAGAATGACTGTCACATTTTGCCCAAGGCTCCTTTGAGGTTAGTATGCATCACTTGATCATATGAATCATGACCAGGCTTTAAAAATGTCACACCTTATAATTCGGTTGCGTCTGACTGAGCAATTGAAGTGATTACAAAGAAAATGTGGCTGAGTCACAGGCACAGGAACCAGAAGTCAAGCCACCCACCTGGCAAATCTTTCAAGGAAATAGATAAGCTGTTGCCACTCAGTCCCCCTCACATCAGCCTAGTTCAGGTTCCTGTACTTACTCCCATCTGACATTTTATTTCATATTTTCTCTTGTCTTCTTTGCCCACCAGGATATGAGCTTCTTGAGAGCAAGCATGCCATGGTCTTATTCACTGTCATGTCTCAGCTCCTAGAATACTGTCCAGCACAAAGAGTTGCTCAATAAATAACAGAGGCTTGAAGGGAGATGCCCAGTGATGCTAATTGCTGGGCTGAAGGTTTGGGTGATGAGATTTCTCAACCTCCACATAGCACTATAACAACCCTAATAAGTGAGGTCTTTGGTGARAAGAGGTAGAGAAGGTGCTGGGGCTACAGGCCCATTTCTTCCTCACTTAGATTATATGTCTATATCTCATTCCCAGGCCATTTTTCCCCTTCCTTTTTCTTGAGATGAAATCATCTAATGTAAAATTAATTATCTTAAAGTATGCACTTTGGTGGCACTTAGGACATTCACAGTGTTGTGTATCTGCCACCTTTGTCCAGTTCCAAAACACATTATCACCTTGAGAAGAGATCTTCTACCTATTATGCAGTCGATAACTGTTCTCCACCTCTTTGTCAGCTCTTAGCAACCACCAATGTCCTTACTGTCTCAACAGATTGACCTCTTATGGATGTTTCAGACAAATAGAATCACACTATTAGTGATCTTTGGTGTCTGGCTTATTTCAGTAAATATGWTTTTCAGGTTCGTTCCTGTTGTAGCCTGTATCAGAATGCCATTCCTTTTTAAGGCTAAATAATATTCTATTTTATAGTCATACCACATTTTGTTTCTCCATAGTTAATGGACATTTGGTCGTTTCTGCCTTTTGGCTAGTATGAATAGTGATGCGGTGAGCATTTGTATACAGGTATATGTTTGGTCTTTATTTAAATTCTTTTGGGTGTATAGCTAGAGTTAGAATTGCTGACTATCCATTTTTTATGTTTGCTCCTTTTACCAATGTGCCTGTWCAAGCTCCAGGGACTCTGTCAATCGGCTTCCAGATAAAATCAACAATCCCCTTTAAAGTAAAGATCTGTGAAAAGAGTTCAGATTACCACCTGAACACATACCACTTTGCCAAGGCTGAAGAGGTTGGCTTCTGAAGGAGAAGTGAGAGGAAGTGAACTGGAGCACTTCCTGTGTTTCCTTTTTCTGCACAATAAAGATCTTGTTCTTGGTGAATCCAGCTGCAGGTGAGCACTGAGTGTTGGATGCCTGATCTCATACAGTTGGCTCTCTGTATCTGCGGGTTCTGCATCTGCAGATTCATCCAACCATGGATGGAAAATATTTGGAAACAAAAATCACACACATAAAGGAATACATACACACTTTCTTTTTTACATACACACTTTTTTATTGTCATCATTCCCTGAACAACACAGTGTAGCAACTGTTCACCTAGCATTTACATTGCATTACGTACTACAAGTAATCTAGAGATGGTTTAAAGTAAATGGGAGGATGTGCATAGGGTATATGTAAATGCCGTGCCCTTTTAAGTAAGGGATTGGAGCATCCAGGGATGGGGGCATTTGTGGAGCATCCTGGAAACARCACCCCATGAGTCCCAAGGGATGATGGTACACAGATTTAGGTACCTCCATGAAACTTTTTCTAAAGGGTAAGCACGCAGTGTCCCTGTGTCCTTCTTTTCATATTCCCCCGTGGGAAGTCCTTCAGCTGTGCAACTGGKTTGTTTATATTAGTTACCATGTAAGCATTATCTACAACAAATTCCTTAAACATAGAAAAACAGGGGAAAATAAAAAGGATTCAACACTCACCAAGCTTAAGGTCAACTCTGAGTTCAGCGTACCACCTGAACTGTTAGAGTGGAGGCTGCGTCAACRGTTTGTATGCCCTGTGGACTGGATCTGGAAATGTTTTACTGTGGCAGTTTTAAGACATTAAGTCATGGCTGGCTTTGATTAGTATTCATTCTAAGAAATACATGATGTTTTAAACAACAAATGTTCCAGAGTTCTCGTTCAGCAAACTGTTCTATTTTGGGAAAGTTAAGCATTAAGTGCCTGAGTATATATGTTAGCAGGAAGAACCCATGGTCAAGATTGAGACCAAAACTACTCATTTAAAGTGATGTACACAGGAGCATCTAATGTGTTAAAAATACATCTGTGGATACTCAGGTCTCTTTCTCTCCCGCCTTGACCTTGTAATTCAACTTACGAGCATTTACCACTGGGCGAGTGCAGCAGTGTCCAAGGGCCTCTGCAAGAGCAAGGTTTCCCCCCCTCCTCTCCCAGCTGCTGCAAATGAGCACCCACAGCCCACCCTAGCTGCCTCTGACTCAGATTTTCCATCATGGAGGTCACTGGCAATGGAGCAATTAATCAGAGGTGGAATGGCTGAGATATTTATGTTCCTGTCCATAGATCTTGGTGGGAAGCTTATACGGACCTTGCTTTAATTTTCTTCCAGAATCCCAAGGTGAACAGGAATAATCCTTTGGGAGTCAGCTTGCTATTTTGATTTYTTAACTCTCTTCTTTATCAATCTTGCATAGTGTTTTAACCGGTGATGGCTTCCCCTAAGAAAGCTGAATTTACCTCTTGGAATTTCATGCATATTTTTGTGATACACATACAGGGAGAAAACCTTGTGCAAGGAAGCATCTAGAATTTAATAGTTAATAACATGCCTTCATTTACCTGGCAGCATTGTCCTCTCCCAAATCACGATTGTTGTTCTAACGCTTATTCCGCAGATGACAGGTCGAGAGTTAGGAGGAAATAGAGCCTGGTGGTCAACAGCACAGACTCCRAAGTAAACAGGCCTGGGATCCATCCTGGCTCCACTCCATCCAGCTGCTTGCTCTCTCTTTGCTCAGTTCCTACAATTGCAAAATGAAACCAAAGGAAACTTAGTAACTAGGTCTTAAAGTTGCTGAGGGAATTAAGTGAGTTTATGCATGTGTTTAACTTAATCAAGGAACATTAAAAAGGGGTCCTTCCACTCTTCTCTTCAGTGACAGGTTTTGACTCCTTTGGCTTCTATCCTTGGAAGGGGCTCCACCTGCTAATGTCCACTAAAGTGAGGCTTCAATATTGAGCTCATCCAACAATCCACACCTTAGGCCATTTAATTGGAATATTTTCATACAACTTAGTTTTGCTGATATGTGATATGAATAGCCTCAATCTCACAGGGGGTGTCATAAGATAAAGTGGAGGTTCCAAGCACAGCGTCTGCCATGTGATCTGCACTGTAGCTTCCCAACGTCTGTTATTGCTAACATGGTGCTTTGTGTCTGTTTCACCATCCCTTAAACTTTAAAATCTAGACCAATTTCCCAATCTTTATCAGATAAAGAATGAAAAAAAAATATTGTTCCCTGCATTTCCCCCAATCTGTACTAATTTCGTGTGTGACCTTGGGTAAATCATTTGACCTTTCTGTGCCTCCATTTCTTCATCAGTTAAGAGGATTGAACTAAAGTCTCTTTTGAAATCACTCCATATAGGGAGATATACATGTGAATATTATCTCTCCAAAACAAATATTTGTATTATTTTAAACCACTTTGTAATTAGCTCAGTTAAACCTTTTAAAAGGTTTTCCTATGAGATAATGCACATAGTTCTGCTGAGGGTTAACGGCAGAGACAGAATTAGAAAGTGCAGACCTTGGCCTTCTGTGTCTGCTTGGCTCAGATATCATCCTTGCTTAATCACACAAGCCTGATATTCTAGTAAAGAACCCACTCGGCCTGAGGGGCTGCTCGGAGGGTGGGGGATGTGCTCCACTTTTCTCACATCCGGAGGATGTTCTTGGCATTCTTTAATCCATATATCTCTGCATTACTTTATATCAGACATTTTTCAAAAATAGCTCAAAACTTATTGAAAATATTTTCAGTGGTTCTCAGTGATAGAGCTCTTACTTCACATGTATATGTGGAAGGTGAAAATTTGCTAAATTCTGACTTATGAGCCGTTTGACACTTGATGTCTTTAGAGCCTTTCAAATGCTTAAATTTGGAAGCTCCAGTGTATTTTCCCATGTGACCGAGAGCTGACTCTCCCTTCAATTCTTCACGCTGAGATTTCTAGAAGCCTGACGACTCTCTCTTCATGATTTTAACAAAGCTTGCCAAGCGTGATCAAAGGCTTGTAAGATTTGATGGAGCTTTAGGTAGAAATACAGACTTTGTGGTTAGGGAAATGAAGGTATTCTTCAGAATCCATATTATCCAGAGACGAATTCTTGGCCTAAATTGGCAGAGCCATTTTGAATAAATTCATAAAGGACCAGATGGCCTGGAAGGGACAGGTGTCCTCACATGCCCTGGAAGACCCCTGAGTTCACAAGAATGGTACAAGCTCCTCCTGTGACCAGGGCTGTGACCAGGCCACTCAGTCTAGAGGGCCCCGTGATGAGGACCTTGGAACCACTCCCCCAATGCCACAGCTCAGGGTCACAGTGGAATTCAGCAGTCCTTGACTTTCCTCCAGCAAATTAAAGTAAAAGTGACACCATCAGCATTTCCTTTCTTACTGGGGCTGAGCTCCCTCCACGAGGTGATCTCTCTTCTTTGACCTAAGCTTTTCCCACTGTATCCACCAGTGACCTGCCCCTGAGGAAGGCAAGGCAAGCAACTGACGGTCCAGAGTTGGGAACAAGGTAAGAGGGACCCCACTGGTTTAACTTGCAGATGAAGACTGAGCTGGAGTGCCTATGGTCCTCTCCACAGAGCTTCTATGAAATGCTTCTTTTAAGAAATTAGGAGTAAGTTTTTAGAAGCATGTCACAGTTAATTCCTTTTTACCAGAACCAGTCCCTCAAGATCAATATGTGGACATCAATATGCTTCTTCCTGCTGCCCACTTTTGACAAAGTTCTTTGTTTACTGAATAGGAAATGACAATGATAATGATGATGATTTATTGAGCACAGGACTAAATGTACTACTGACACCACCATCATCATCATTCTAATGACCTACTTTATAGACAAGGATACCGAGGCTCATAGAAGTTCAGGGACTTGTCCAAGGTCACACAGCCAATGAGTGGTGGAGGCAGCACAGGAATCCAGCTAGGGTATGCACAGACTCGTGCTCGTTCATCATGCTGCAGCTCACTCTCGTTCTACATTGTGCTTTTCCACCCTATAGGTCTTGTTCTGCTGTTACAGAGAATTTTAAACAGTGAAAAACTGAAGGAAAATCAATTAATATGCATGGGAAGTTTAGATTGGAGCACTGCAGAGTGCTGTGGATGGAATATAAGAGAGAATGTGAGCACAAATGCTGTACAAGAGGGAGGCTAGGGAGGATGGATGACATGAGGACAGACTCCAGAGGGATCCCCCAATCCTTCAAGGTGGGCTCAGGTGGCCTTTTGCCCTGTGTGGGGAACCCTGGGTCATAACCCAGGCCTGTGCCATCAGACTTGAATACTGTCTAACATGTGACCCTCATGGGGGGTCTTTCCTGGCTTTGGCAACCTCTCACACAACTGGGAAAAAATATCTTCTAGAAATGGCAAGACATTTTCCCACTACCAACCCAGGTGGATGTGGGAATAACTGCAGAGAACAGAGACTTGGGGGTTAGGCAGATACCCTCTCCATGTAGCCGCCACCTAAAGAGAATTACTTCACTCTCATGTGCCTACTTTGCTCCCTTAAATGGGTATAATGATACCAGTCTCAGTGGAGTAGTTTGAAGAGCTAGCATTTAGGTGAAAAAAATGTGTATAACAGATGGTCCCAGAYTTACGATGGTTCAGCTGATGATTGTTTTCAACTTTATCATGGCACAAAATCATACCCTTACAACCCCAGTTTCTCACTCTCATTACGGTACTCGATGATTTCCGTGAGCTATTCAGCACTTTWTCCTAAAATGGGCTTTGTGTTAGATGATTGTGCCCAGCTGTAGGCTAATGTAAGTGTTCTGAGAACCTGTACGGTGGTGAGGCTAAGCTGTGATGTTYGTCGGTTAGGTGTATTAAATGAATTTTTGATATAGGCTGTTTTCCACTTACGATGGGTTTACTAGACTAAATCAAGGAGCACCTGTAATGTGTTTAGCACTGAACCCAACCTTTAGAGACCACAGAGAAGCTGTAACTTTTGTTGTTGATACTGGATGAGGAGATCCTGAGGACATGGGAAGGAAAATCCAGACAGCTGGAGAATGAGTTTTTAACTGAGAAGGACAGAAGCAAAGAAAGAACTGATATGATGCTGGGAAGGTTGATGAACTTGACAGTCTCCCCTTCAATCCTCATACCCAAATCTTTTTTTTTWAATTTATTTGTTAGTTATAGTTGGACACAATACCTTTATTTATTTATTTATTGTTATGTTATGCTGAGGATCAAACCCAGGGCCTCGCACATGCTAGGCGAGGGCTCTACCATTGAGCCACAACCCCAGCCACCCCCCTCATACCCCAAATCTAAGTCGCTATCACATAGCAGTGTCCTGGATCCCGTAGAGCCAAGAAGACAATGCCAAACTGTAAGACTAAAAATCTTGTGGGAATTGGTCTCTTTACTCTAACCAGCAGTTTTCCTGTGTTGCTTCTGTTCTTCAGAAAAATTCAAAACTAAAATGTAAATCTTCACATTTTGGAGCTTCTCATAGTAAACACAATCCAKATCTGTACCTATGCTGAGTACAGCATAAACATATGTGTTTTGCTCAAATTAAAATCATTCCTGGAAAAAAAATTTTAATTTTTTTTTGAGGTACAACTGCTTGGAAGACTCCAAGCAGAGGTAATTCCTTGGGGTTATCCCTGGGGTTTGTTTTAGAACTTGAGCTTCCTTTTATAAGATCCTGCTTTGGAGCAGTGTGTCTTTTACCACCCAAACATAGACTTTGCCCCTGACTGTCAGCAAAGGTAACACGGGTGGCAAATGCTCAACTATTAGGGGAATGAGCATTCTCAGAATGTCTTGGCTAATTGGGAGGTCACGTGTCTCTATCAAAGCATTCTGTATTCTTTGTTGGTGTCTGGCCTTCCCTGGGCTGGGGAATGTTCTGGGCACACAGCCTGCCAGGAGTGGAGGAATGTTCTTTGCCACTATCTCTTTTTCAGGGCTGACATGCAGATATCTAAAAATGCCCAACTTGGTGAGCAGCCTCCTGGCTGCTGGGAACTCAACCTTGAATACAACTTTGTACTCTAGGACCCCAGGAAAGGGARCTTCAAAAGTCACTGACCGACCACAGAGAGGTCTCACGGTGAGCAASGCATTTGCAACTCCCCCCAGCTCCACACATCATGCTGGTAGGATGGGGTGTGGATCGAGGCTCTTTGGGGAAGAACAAGTGGCTTGCTGGGAAAGTGGTTCCTCCGTGCCATTTCCTGTGTCTCATTTCAGAGAAGAAAATTGAATTCAGCCCTTATACGACCTTTCCATTCTTTTTTCTTTCAACATCTATATTCAAGATGCTGTCACCTGTCAATTTAAGAGTTTAAATTTAGGAACCTGTGCTAAGACACAGCAAGAACTGTTGTGATGGGAACATGGTAACGTGGCCCAATTGATTAAATTATCCATGGAAATCTCCCACTGGCATCAGGAAGRGATTTGTGCCCAACTCAGGGTGTGGTGTGAGTCACTGTGAATCACAGACCACTTACCCTCACAGAATTCCTCCCTTCTGGATCACATGACCTAATTAATAGGAAAGGTGTTTGCCAGAGTACCTGCTTCTCTCTTAACAGAGACTCTATCTAGCTCCCATCAACCCAGATGGAGAAATGCAGTCAAGGTGTGGATAAAGTAGCAAGTGATTTAAAAATTTGGGTGCCCCTTGCTTTCAAATATTGAGTGGGAGTAGGCATGAGAATTCCTAAATCATGCTTGCCTTTCCAATACTAAAAGGATTTTAGAAGGAGCCTTTAGGGAAATTTAAGTGGTCACAGGAAAGAATTCAGAAACATTTTGGGTGACTAAGGGGGATGCTAAGGGTGAATGAATGTGAAAGTTCCACTGTTGTGTATTTTTTAAAAAATAATAATAGAATCAATTTTTTAAAAAAGAATACCTCTGCGGGGAGTCTCCCAAGCAGTTGTAGCTCAATCTTTCAGTAATCAGGGTAGGTACCTTTCTGTGCACCAGTCTTTCCCCTTTATATGGTAGCATAGCCCATCTTCCCTGGGGAGGATCTATTACATGGAAGTCAGGACCTGCTGTTCCTGCCCATCCCATTTGTCACATGAGTGGTTTAGAGTTCAGCACTGGGCCCAAGTCAAATCAAACAGGGTCACTGCAGGGTATTTTCTGCTGGCAGGGCTAACCAGCCAAGTCTGTAAGAACAGAGTGTACCTGACCTAACCCACCAGGAAATTAGATACCTTGGTGTGGCATTTTTGGAGGAGGTCAACCTCTCAAGCACTCTAAAGTGAGAGTGAGTTTAGCGGGTGTGAGAAACAGAGAGAGGGGCGGTACAGCCCGAGTGGAACAGATGAGGGAGAGAATGGACAGGGGAGGCTGTGGGGTGACAAGGCAGGATTCTGCCAGGGTAGAGAGCATGGCTAAAGGGTGAGCATCGGAACACAAGCAGGGAGAGGTGGGAAGGAGATGATGGCAGTAGCCCAGGACAGGATAAAGGGRCTCGAGTTGGTTTTATGAGTTCAGATGGAGGGGCAGAGTGAATTTGGAGGTGAGTGTTTGAGATGCAGTTGACAGAACAGGCTAATGGATTAGATGGTGGTGGAAGGGGGGTGATAGAAGGAGGCTGGCAAAAGAAAGAGAACCAAAGASAATTCCTAGAAGCAAGATTGKGAAGCAGGCTCTTTGGGGTGGGGAGCAAGAAGTAAGAGTCTTGTTCGGGCTATATGAAATATGGAACGACCATCAGACACCTACACCTTAATGTTCAACAAGACAGTKCGGCATTCCTGGAGATCCAGCCTGGTGATGTAGATTTGTGCATCATGGTGTCCAGGTGGCTCCAGAAGCCCTGTGACTGGATGGAATCACTTTGAGGGAGACTGTGGAGAAGGAAAGGTAGGGCCCATCCCTGAGGGAGGAGCAGAAGTAGTCATGAAATGCAGCTGAGAAGGAGAGGGCAGGGAGGAAGAGGACAGAGGGCAAGATGCTGTCACAGGGGTTTGACATCTGGAGGGGTTTGGTGTCTGGAGGGGGTTTAGCATCTGGAGGGTTTGGCGTCTGGAGGAGGTTCCCTGAGTGAGGGAGACAGCCAAGTGCAGCACTGCTCGTGTGCCGAGCAAGACCATGAGAGACCCAGCTGCTGGATCATTGGTGATCTGGACAATAGCAAAGGCATCTGGGACGGTCGGGGACAGAAMACCAACTGAAGAGGATTGAGGAAGAGACACAGTGAGATGAAAAGGTTGACACAGAGTTTGGAACACTCTCTCCCCAAAATATTATATTATCTCTTCTAATTAGCACGGTCATGGTGTGAGGGAGGTGTTGTTCTCACCCCATGGAAGGATAAGAAAATGAAGGTTGAAGACCACAGGGTCAGTAAGGGCCGGAGGAGGCTTTTGACTGAGAGTATGAGCCTTGACCAACCACTCTGCTCATCCCACAGCGGCCTGGAGGAAAGGTTAGCCATATAGGGACATTGCTAGAGGAAAAATGAAAACAAGTTAAGGGCCATTTCTCTTGAGAATGGCAGTAACCAGGGCTGTC